CCCCTTAGGAAGTGATACACCGTGTAGTAAAGAATATACGAAGTAGGCTAGAAGAATGCTCGAGAAAAAATGGCCATCATCTTGAGGACATCATTTTTAAAAAATAAATGGCAAGTTATGTACTTCAATGTAATAAAATAATAATTAATTTTTTTATTCGTTTATTTATTTTATTATTTATCTTTGAAAATTGGCCGTTTCAGTGCAACGCCCTGTATATTAGATTACGATAGATATCCGTAACATCACAGGAAATTAAAATTAATAATAATGTTTTTTTTCCATCCAAGTTACGAAGGTAACCCATAAATCAACAAAAATAATTCAATTTTTTTTTATTAAAAATACTTAAAAAACAAATTTTAAGGAAGGGTACTCAATAGTGGTGTGGGTACCTATAAAAAATTTCCCTAAGATTATAACTTAACTTATGTTCTCTATGGTTATTCAAAAAAATTCAAAATTCAACTATAGATACATTATGAAGTGAACAATTAGTTTTATTATTTTAAAATTGCATTTACCCGTTCTATGGTCATCCTATGTTCTCAATATTATTGTAGCAATTAATATCGCGCAGTAAATAAATAAATAAGTAGTAATAAATTAGTGTAGATAACTGCAACAATAATTCAAATGAAATATCAAATTACAAAATTACACAATTAACGAATTAAATACAAATGAGTGGCCGTAATAAAGATGCTGATAGGTGGCGACCCTACTGTATTATTTTTCTCTTCTAATTAAATGCAAGTATCAAAAATTTAGGTATGTGATATTCACGTGTCCCGTAAGCGGAACGCGACGATTTGTTGAAAACTCGTCAAAATTGTCAAAAGAAAATAAAGTTATAATTAAAATCTCACGACGAACCGTCAGAAACCGGTAGTTTCCCGAACGTGAACACAATACATTGGCACGCCGCCGTGGGAAACGACGAAAACAAAAATAAACCAAACTATATTATAGCGATATGGTGAACTACGAGTGTGACATTTCAATCTGGAAAAGAAAAAAAAAAACATTTTAACCGGGATTTAACAACGACTGGGTTTTACAGGACTGCGGGAGTAACTCGAGCACATCACCTGCGAAATTGCACTTGCAGCTGTTGTGCACGAAACCGGATGTAATATTATTATTGTTACACATCATTATAATAATGTAATGCGATTTTTTTTTTTTGTTTATGTATATTTTGTACGACCCTGTGTGTATAGGAATAGGAATTCATACTTCCCGAGTTCACGGGACCGTAAACCGCCGGTAAGTGAAGTAATCCACCGAATCGGAGGGTCTCTCGAGTCGGTGCACCATGCGGAACACGGTGCGAGAAAATTATTGCCGACTATGGACAGAGGTAAACGACTACTTAAAATCGATAGCGGCCGTCGTCTCGCCTCGAACAACGGGGAATATAACTCGACTGGACAACACGGAGAGCTTGAATAATTTTGAACAGCTTTGTCTTTTACACCAAAACTAACCTAACCGAATTAACTACTAAAATTCACTGGGTTAATAATTTCAATTCGTTTTATACATTGTAAATATTCTATGTGTAATTATTGTTATTGTTGCTGCACGCCTACAATGTAGGTATATTATATAGTTAAGAAACACCCTAACTTAAGTCCTACATATATATTATATAACTTCGAACATGGTTTTGCTATACATATCAGAAGGGTACGAATGTTTGGTCATTATTGAAATACTTCGGAATCTGTTGTACACAGTATTAATCAGAGATTTACGCTCAGATGCATGTTTTGAATGCGACAGTATTGCGTCATCGTCGAGAAGTTTAAATCAACATCTTTTTATCGAAACAACTGATGTGTTTGCTAACAAAAACAATTCAAAATTACAGATTTTCTAAATATACATAATTGTACTAAACACATTATTAGATATCACTGTTTATTATTATAAAAGGTTTTCCCACCTACACCAGTGGCTGCACCCGTCCCTCTTTATCTTACTCTTTTTTATATTGTAAATTATATTTTTATATTATTTTTTATATTTACATACTCATATCTTATTTAAAAATAAAAATATCAAAAAATCATCAACACTAGAGCGCAATTTTGGCAATAGGTCAATTTGTTTTAATATTAAAACTAAAGGCATAAAATATGTCCTACTGAACGTAAATTTGCTATGTTTTGTGTTTGTTGATAGAACACAGTAGATGTCAGTGTGGCGTCCTCTTTAACATTATCCGAAATGTGAATAACTAACGGAAATCAATGTACATGTGTTTGGTCATTATTGATATTTTTTGCAATCTAACAGGAAATCTTATAGAAAATCTTGGTAATCATTGTGAAAATCTTTTAATTCTGGAATCTAATGTTGATCGGTGATTTACCCCAAAGAGAAATCAATGTACAAATGTTTGATAATCATATAGAAATCATTAGTAATTATTTAGAATATCTAGATCATTGGGAAAATCACGGTACGGTTAGGTAGGATAAAAATCTGGTATACGAAATATTAATCGGTAATTTATCGTTTGACATTACTTGTGATACAAGAGTCATAACTTCATAAGGCATCCAACACCCACTTAAAAATAAAGACTCAGATGGGCCTATAGCCCAAACAGCCTACCTTATATAATATATTACCTTTTATATGTATATAAAGTGACTTTTTTGATTAGAATTATTATTGCTATTGTACTTTTTAATACTGAACTTGGTCATAATAAAATGTATAGTTATTATTTCAAGCTACCTATAACTTGATAATTTTGAAATTTAAATACGCCTTAAGGCAATAATCTCATTTTTAATTGAAAATTCAGCAAAATAATAATGCATATTGTTTTGTATGCACTTATGGGCATGTCTGTACGTGAAAATGCAAAATTTCTTTTAAAAACATTAACGAGTTATCCGAAGGGGAACAATCGAATGACAATGCCGATTGACAACCGACAGTGTTGCCGTACGCGGTCGCGCCTAATTGCCGATAGAATAGAATACACCGTTCGGGTTTTATAACGATTCAATTTATTAGCGGGTACCTGTAGTACTTGCGCAAAAACGACTACACGGTACGATTATAGTATTTATAATATACACAGTCATCAGTGGTATTGGGCACAGACCGATTTTCCGAACATCCATCCGCCGCGAGCCGGTCGTAAATGCGATAATAATTATATAAATGACGGTCGGTCGTTTTTACCACCGCGTATACCGCCGCTCAAGTCGAATTAACCGCATTAAAACCCAATTGGACCCGGGGTGTACACCGGCCATTTATCGCCGTAATCGTACGCGCCGCATTTGTTTCGTCGTCGCGACGTTTGTGTACGTAGGTACACGAATACTGTACAACGGCCACACGAGTCAAGTGTAATAACGATAGTCTCTGCGCCGCACGACACAACCGATGGAGATCATCGTGCACCGAGACGGACGGACGGTTGAGGACTATGAATTATTATGCTTGTACGTTTGAGTAAAACCAACTATCCACATTGCGCAACAAAAAGAAACGATAAAGAAAGGAAGAAAAGAAAAATCGTTTCCGTTTTCACCGTCTCGGCTGATCAACGATACACGATTTGAGAAATATTTCAATAAAACTATTCGAATCGATTTCCTTGACTACGTCTTTTGTTTTCCGCACCGGCATTCTTTGCAGCACTGTACGACGATGGATAGGTTCAAATTTTTCCGACTTTTAAATTTCCTCGAACCCACAAAAGGAATAATAAATACATATATATATATATATATAAAATGTATAGCAATTTGTAATTTCATTTCAATGGTTTTAGATGTCCTATTAATTTAGTTCGCCAATTTATATAAAAATTAATGTTAGATTTTTTTTTATTTCCTGCGACTGTAAAACCTTTTTAATTGTTAAATTTGAAAACTAATGGTAGTAGAATACTGCAAGTGCATAACGTATTATCCATAGATCTATGCATATTATAATCATACAATATTATTAACAAACTCATATTCATATTCATCAGATCACAATATACATGTGAATTACATGTGTATTCAGCACCATATAGTTAAAAATTAACTTCAACACAAAACTCCATTAAGCTTTTTCATAATAATTAACTATATTATTCATGTATTTTATAATTAATAAATAAGCAGAATAAAATACAGATACATACAGATGATGCATGTGTGTATAAAAAATAAAGATGAAATAATTCACAATCCAGATTTAGTTCAACTTGGTTTTGGTTCAACTTGTTGCAAGTTAGGAAAATTGTTTTTAAAATAGCAGAGAAGGCTTTTTTTTATCTATAATTATTTATGATTTATCATCATAAACCATGATAATAAAATCTATAAATATACACTTTGTTATATAATAAACGCAGTAGTAGATAAAAATGATATCAAATAATAGGCGCAAAGTAAGAAGTGGTTTTAACCAATGCATTCTACTGTCATTTCACGGCCTGTATGAGTCCTTTAAAGGAGGCGTACAGTTTCCCGGAATCCCAACCGCTAATTTTGGATAATACTATAATGATGGATATCGAATATCGATGTTCAAAAAATTTTATCCATCCCTTATTTGTAATAATAATATTGTCAACATAAACTATAATGAAGATTAACTTTCAAACACTAATTTCAAGGCTAATGCAATTTAACATTTAATTGTCTCGAACAATAGGAAATAGGTATAACTCGGCTGGGCAACATGGATACATGTTAGGAATTTGTTCATCATGATAATTTTTAAAAAGCCTAAAATGTGGAGACATAGAAAACCAAAGAATTAATTGAGAATACCTCAAATTAACTTCTCAGAGTGGTTTTCCTAGACAAACATTTAACGCCGGTCTGGTATTATATGCATACTTTGTAGTCACAGTGTGTGTTAAATGAAGATATTTATTTTTTAATTAAAAAAAAAGTTCTCCTGTAAAATTTGAAAAAAAAAAACGGATATAGTAGTATATAAGAACACAAGTTATTTCTTTCCGTAATAAAATGTTTAAAAATATGTTGGAAATATTATTCCAAAATACAATCATAACAGAAGTGATAAAAAAACGAAGACTCCAATGGGCAGGCCATGCTTGGAGGAGCCAAAATGAGCTAATTAGAGCAGTATTAGAACAAAAACCGCGAGGAAAAAGACCGCTGGGAAGACTCAAAACAAGATGGGAAGACGTCGTAGTTAAAAAGGATGTACAATCGCTAGGAGGAGAAACGAACTGGAAAGAAAGAGCAACGGATAGAGAAGAATAGAGGAACGGGTGTGAGGAGATGGGATGGTCTTGAAAGGCCTTTAACCAGAAAGAAGAAGAAGAATACAATGTTTAACAGTAATATTCGTTAGAAAACATATTTAGATAGGCGACATCATGTCAGTCCTGTATATGATTGATGAATTCAGTCACTTTTTTTTTTAAGCCTTTACCGCTTCTGGCCCGGTATTATTGTAATAATATGTGTGGAAACGAACGTAAATATTGAAAATTTCATTCAGCGAAATTTAAAATGACATCGGTCTATACTCGAGTATTATTGAAACGATAATTAACTGTGGCAGAGGTCGTTGTGCAAGTCTGTGTGTGTGTGTGTATGTGTATTTTAATATAATAATTACAAAATTTGAATTTGAATGCCATCGTATTACAATAATAATGACGGTCCAGCCGAAATTCGCGACTGTTAATGTACCACACGCTCGGTCGAGTAACAACCTGCGCCACGATCGGCGGACGGAATTATAATAGTTATAATTATGGTAATTTTCGATTTTTTTTTTTATTTTGTCTATACATCACGCGACAAAATCGTTCGCCGGTGGCGGAATCGCGTCGTCACGCGACCGGTTTTTTCGTTTGTTTGGTTCACACGGGGAAAATAATAATAATAGTAACGTAAAAATGAACTGAAACTGCTCTAAAAAAATTACGAAACGGAAAAAAAATCGGCATATCAGTGTCAGTCAACATCGGAACAGATTAAGGGTTTGCCAACGTTCATTTTGGACGCTCAGACGCTTATAGCGTTACGTTCACGCTTAATGACCTCTTATCCGACATTTATAGTTTCATTTCATAAAAAATATAATATTTATATCAGAGTACGGGAAGTTAAGACAAATGTAAAAATATTTTCGTATTTTAACTTACTCAGTTATAAATAGAGCAGTTTTAGTGTTAAATGAAGGTCTTTCACTATCCAAACATTGAAAAGGACACGCGTAAATACACGTTAAATAATTAGCTCTAGAAAATAACCCCCTGAACTACTGCTACCAAAGCCGCTTAAGTAGTGAAACTACTGTTATCGGGGATACACCAGTACTTAATCGCCTTTCAAATGATATAGCCATAACAATAATATTGGACTGAATGTAGTTCAGTCTATAAAATGAAAAGTAGAAAAGTTTTACAAAATGACTTTGTAAAAAAATGTTATGAGATTTTAATTAATATAGATGCATCCAATTGCATAGCAAAGAAAAAAAAAATATTCGGATTCCGAAGGGGTTCGTCCGAATTGTGTACAGTGTATAATTTTCGAATCGATGTTAACAAAATAAAATACTCTGCGATTATCACGAGTGCCGGATACACATACACTATACTCTACAGATTATTATTATATTAGAAATTTAATCAAATGGGTTTCCTGAGTTTTCATAGTACTGCCATTACAGTAGAATCACGAGTTGAAAACATGCCCAATGGAAAAAAATAAACAACAATTTATAATTGACAATTTGAAATTTTTGTTTCAAAAGTTATTGCGCAATGGTTATTGAAAGGTGAGCTTATTGTAAACGTTCGTATGAGGCTTACATAAAATTGACTACTGAATACAAAGTTATATTCAGCAAGATAGATCACAATCGCAATAAAGATGACAGGGCACTCAATTCGGACGAACCGATATAGACAATACATTATAAGTGTGTAATTAATAGGAGGGAAGTATTATTAAATAGGTATTATCCAACATAAAAATATTTAATGTCGACACCACGAATAAAACCAAAAATTTAGTTGCATTGTGTTTAATTAATACACATAGGTAGTTATTTCGTTTGAAGACTTTTTTTTTTTTTTAACAGAGAATATTATTGTACTATAGTTTTCGAGTGCCCCAACCACTGTTACTCCAGGACCCAGAGTCGAGCCTACATTCATTCAACGGCTGGATAAAATAGACCTCAAACTATAATACCAATAATATTGATTTGTTTCCTTGATAATGTTATTTATATTATCATATATTTTATTATACTATATTATTATTTTTTTTTTTTCAAGTTTAGTCTATTTGTATTTGTCTTTTGTGTTAGGTATCATAGCATGTAATTTTAATATCAAACCATACGCCTAAATAACAAATTGTAATAGCAATATTTTTTATAGACATACTTGTAATGCTATTGGGATGCGACGAGTTTACGAGAAACGGTTCGGCGTGAATGCCGGCGCCGAGGAAGCGGAAAGAAAATAAACGCGATAAATCACACGCGTCATTTATTTTGTTGTAGCCTTGTCAAATTCACACGCGATCGTTGTATGTTTTATTATTTATCATTATTATTGTTATTATTCGACCGACCGAGCGGAGAGCGAACAATGGCGACGGTTTTATCCGAAATCGACGGCGCGTCGAAAACTAGCAGTAACTTCGTCCGTTACCCCGCCGGTAACCGTATGGTATCTTCCTATCTATCTCGGTCGCCGTTCAAATAATTGTTAACAGACCCAGCATAAGTATAGAGGAGTTCAAAAAGTTGTACAGACTACTGCGGTGGTCGACCCATATAATATTCGTATTTGGAGGCCACGTTAAAAAAACAATTTATATTTAGTATACTCCGATACGCACCTATCGTGTGGGTACGTTTTTATTAATTGCAACACACGTGTATGTGACACTTCTGGAATTTATGTTTTAAGCTTTACTTATTCTACATCACATGCTACAATTTCTGCTTACACTTGGTTCTTTACAGAACCAAGTTCCAAGTTTAAGTATATGTTTCACGTGCAAATAATATCGCACAAAGTCTTCATAATATTATGTCAATAGTACAATTTCACTAATTTCTTTTACATTTCCAAAAGCATTTTATTGGATTTTAATTGTTTTAACAATGACTATTTTAAAGTATTATTCTAGACGAGGGTGCCCACAGAAATATAAACCGAGGGGGGGGGGTAACAAAACATGTAAATACAAATCTATCACAGATAATAATTTTCAGTCTTTTGTAAAGTTTTATCTCCCTACGTGTCACAGAAATCGAAATTTTAAAATATAAGTATTGTTAGCTAATAGTTATGCTAAAAAAGGTATATTGAATCTGATCAGATACTGGAAACTGGAAGTTTATTTCTTCGATTACCTACTGTGGTCTATGATAAGCTGATATGACAGCAAACGCTTAAGCTGCACTAACCGTTTCGTTTGAGCATTTGAAAGCGTGGAACAATGACGTAGAGCACAGATATGATGACGTCACGGTGTGAGTGGTTATTTGTGTCAGGTGGAACACACCGGGAGCGCTTGAAGCGTACAATCGGAACGCACCACTCTGTATTAGTTTTTGGTATTTTGATACCCATATTATTTGAGATCCCCCGGACATTTCAAAGTGTCGGGGGAGGGGGATGCTGGTCCAATGTACGGCTTGCACCGACGATTTATCCGACACGAATTAAAGTTGCGGACATACGGGCAATCGGAACATAATATTATCAGAGGTCGTCTCTATATCGGGAAATACCGGGAGCGTAACACGAAAAATGAGAAGGGCAGGACGGGGCTAGTATTTGTTGATCAGATTCTCTTTTATATCCATTTTTTCTATTTTTTTTTTTTTTTTCATTGTTTCTTCAGGGTCCGGGTGGTCTTGCCCCGTCATGGAGATAATACTATCGTAACATAGTAACAATATTATCATCACGATGATCCACGCGCGGCAATCCAGACCGTATTCGACGGCCGGATCACGACGGCCAGTCACGCGTCAGACGTACGCGGGGACCACCGCCGCCGCCGTCGTGCGCGCACGTGCAGCCACAGCAGTCGGACCCGAAAACAACGGACTCTTTCTGTCGTCGCCGCAACAGCCGCATTATTATTACATCATGTACATATTGTCCGTGTAATAATAATAATAATAATGGTACGGAGCGACAAAACGAGTAAATGACTAATGCGCATTGAAAATAAAACGAGGAGGACTCGAGAACCGCACCCACGCTGAGGAGGACTGCTGTCGGATCATTGCGCACGGCAATATTGTGCAAGTCTCTTTGCCCACTCAAACGAAAGGGCGACGAGCTGGTCGACGTCGAATTGAAGTGCCGCCACACGCGCTGTACAAAGAAAACGCGCGGCCGTAATAATAATATTATTGTTCGGATTAATGAAAACATAATAATAATAAAAAAAAAAACCTTATACTCGTAGAATCGAAATTCACCATAGTCATCGCGGCCGTATAGGTATTAATAAAACTAAAAAAAAATATATACACTTAAAGATTATTAATAAACAGTAACGCGGGCGTCTCGAAAGGTGAAAAACACGGTAGTCGTATAAACTTGCACGTGTACTCCCCGCTATCGGTCCGGAATAATAATAATAAAAAAAAAAAAAAAACTACAAACACTAACGAACGAAAACGTAGTGGCGCTCGCCAACTGTCCGACGAGACGGGCCTACGTCGCCGTACCGCGTTTTTGTGCAATTCTTTTTTTGTATCGTATTATAATACCAAGACGAAGCGTGCAAATAGGTGGGCAGAAAAAAAAACCGGACACGATTTTCAAATAATAATCATTACACAACACATTTCGTGGGCGTATGCGCGAACGGTCGTCTTTCCCTCCCGCTGAAGAGTCGAGTCAACGCGCGGCCGAACACGATAACTATAAGTAAGAATGATAAAAAAAATGTCCTGTGAGTGGTCGTTATATTTTATTTTAAAATATAACGAGAATACGTTTCCTAGTAAATATCGTATCTTAATATTTTCTTAGCCCTCGCAGTATCGATACTATTTGCGTCTACGGATGCAGTAACTGTAAAACGCGGCCCGAGGTGTTCGGCAAACGATTTACTCTCGAACGATAAACTTTCACCGCGTTTCAAGATAATATTATATACCCACGAAACAAGACAAAACTGTAAAAATTACTGCATTTCATCATAAAAATGCATACCCGAACTTCGATCACACTCGTTTTTCGTCGGCAAACAGATATAAAGTA